TAGTAGGCGTTCACTCAAGACTCTTCAGTAGCAATTGTGTTTTCCAGGCTCCACCAGGGAGTTCGAGAAAACCTCATGCTTGCCTCAACCCCAAACAAGACCATTTGGTGGCTTTGAAACAAATAGCATTTACAATGAGAGAAAGAGTTATTATTTAGGGGTGTTTTCCATTAATACATATTGACCTCAGCAACCAGTAAGAGTACAGGAAATGCGACTTGAAAAAGCCTCAGGGTCTATGTACTTAGTCATGAGTTACTTATGTCAGGTCAGGGAAGTCAGTGGTGATCTAGTAAATAGTCAGATCAATACGGACTTCTTTCCAATGAGGACTGGAGATCCATGTGTTCAGCATTGTGTGTGTATGTGTGTGTGTGTGTGTGTGTGTGTATGTGGACACATAGGATTAGAATAGGTATAGATAGGTTCAGTGGGTGAAATGAATTAATCACATTATTCTGGGGGTTTACATTGTGTGCACCATTTAAAAAGAAAACAAACTAATGTCACTTCAACAAATAAACTGTATTTTGAATTCTTTAGGAATAAAATGTTCTGCTTCCAAAATCTAGTAGTAAAAAAAAAAAAAAACCAACCAACCAAACAACAACAACAACAACAAAAAACCAAAAAAATGCCCCTAAAACCAAAACCAAAACAAACACACACTTGATTAAGTTCAGGATGTCAGACCAGAGCTCCCAGCATGTACTTCTCATGGTTTCTGTGCTTTCTGCCAAGGCAAGTAAAGTTCATTGCCTTCTTGGATATTTCTGAGTGTGAATATATGCAAGGAAAAACAAACGGTGCTTGATAGTTCATGAAATTAGCTGCAGGACATACAAGTATATGACATCTTTATCCTAAAAGAAACCACAAATAAAAAGTGATATCCTAATTTAGAAAATTATTTTGAGAAAGTAAGTTTCAAGAGAATTTAAGGGATTCACTAAAATATATGAGAAGGTATTTGAAGTAATTCCAGATAGCAGAACACATTTTTTTTTTTTAAATTTCCAAAAGAAAGTGTTGGGGCTGGAGAGATGGCTCAGCGATTAAGAGCATTGCCTATTCTTCCAAAGGTCCTGAGTTCAATTCCCGGCAACCACATGGTGGCTCACAATCATCTGTAATGAGGTCTGGTGCCTTCTTCTGGCCTGCAGGCATACACGCAGACAGACTATTGTATACATAATAAATAAATATAAAAAAAGAAAGACTGTGTTACTGCTTAAAGGTCTTGACTCATTAAAATCTACTTATATAGGTGACAGATTTGGGGGATGAAATGTTCCTACTTGGAGAAAGAAACATAGCGATCATGTCTAGGAGGCAGAAACTATGAAGAATAAATTTAAGTCTGGAACATGTTTTGCCTATGAATATTGAGAAGGAGCACCAAGAGGCCCACATTCAGCATACATTCCCTGAAAACACTCATACCTTTTACACTCTTGCTTATTCATGCGCCTATGTTAGCTTAGCACACAGGCTGATGTTCTCGGCTCCATTTCTGTTTTCAGCCAGGAAAGGTCAAACTTATTCATACATGAAACCTTTGCTTATATGTCAGAGGTTGCTGAACCAATTGCAGCTGATTTTGAATATCTAACAACAGAAACTCTAACAAATGAAGACGGTACTTTCAAGAAATTGCTTGTTTTAAAATAAAATTAGCTTTTCCATAGGTGCCAAACTACTGGCAGAAGATAGTGGGAGCTTCTCTAAACACCAAGACACATACACTGAGAAACCGAGGCAACATACGTGTGCCTCTTTACTTTAGGAACAATGCTTTTAAATGACTGCAGAGCAGATAAGGGAACAGGGTGAAGAAAACAGCTTGCTTTGCATTATTTAACCAGGTGCTAACATTTTATTTGTGTATAGATATCTATTCTATGATTACATAAAATAAAAAAAAATGCAATTCAATTATTTCTTTTCTCGTATTTCTCCCAGTCTTTTCCCAAAGGGCAGTCAGTCACACATTGCATGTACGGAAGGCTTAGGGTTGCAGTGACTGACATTTAACCACTAGAATTATCTTTTGTCTAGGTTAAACAATTGAGCCGATATTTCAAAGAATATGGAAGGAACCAAAGGGACAGGTATCTAGGATTAAGTGGGGGAGATAAAAAGGCACCTAGTACAGTGTCAGAATGTTAGATTTTGTTCTACAATCCAAGGAAATGTAAGTGGCTGATGGAAGCAGCATGGAAATGCCATGGAAGAATGCTCCTTAACGGGAAGCTCTGTTACTGTGTGTATATTTTCCTCAGAGAGATCGTAAAGACAGATGTTCAATGTAGAAGTTACCCAAAAAGTACAGGTCAAAGGGTGTCTCTGTCCTCCGTTGACACAGGCAGATCACATAAGAGGGTTCTCAGGTGTTGGGGGTTTCCATTGGTGAGCTTGGTACTTAATGTTTGGATTTGTTATTTGAAAATAAGTATTATCTGTGTGCTTTGTTCACTTCTCTGTATATATGATTTAATAAAACACATAAAAGGAAAAATGAAGGTGTCTGTAGCACGAATTCTAACAGGTCTTCATAATAAAAACCCAGAGTCAGATATTAGTGGGTGAAAGTTGAAAGATCGGAGAAGCAGAACAGTCAGCCACTAGATCTTACCTCCACAAAATTGTCAGACAGAATTCTGTATCCTTTCTCTACAAGTTCTCAGAATGAATGCCCTCTCTATGAAACTTCATACTGAAATGTCTTGAGCTCCTGTCTCCTCCCACCTTATATTCCTTTCTCTGCCCAGCTATCTCCCTTCCTGTCTACACAGCCACAGTGTTGGGATTAAAGGCATTTGTCTCTCAAATACAGGGATTAAAGGTGTGAGCCACCACTGCCTGTATCAGTTTCTCTTTGAGACTGAATCAGTCTTGTGTAGTTCAGAGTGGCCTTGAACTCACAGAGATCCTTGTCTTTGCCTCCTGAGGACTGGGATTAAAGGTGTGTGCCATTTATGGCTAACGAGTGGTTCATGCTCCACTCTTCAGGCAAGCTTTATTTGTTAGGTCACAAACAAAATATCACCACTGCCACAGATACCTGAACAAAATATGATCTGGAGCAGTGTGTGCCTTGAAAAAGAATCACAAAAAAACAAATAAAAAATAAAATAAAAGACAAGCAGAAAGAAAGAAAGAAAGAAAGAAAGAAAGAAAGAAAGAAAGAAAGAAAGAAAGAAACTTACAATTGATGGAAGCCCAGAATGAGGCTGAAATAAATATGACCTGGAGATATTTAGGCTTACATAAAGAGGATGATATTTTATTTATAGAGCTAAAAGCCTCACGTGGGAGAAGTGTTTGAGTCAAATTGACACATTTCACAATGAATATTTGAGATATTTATTTGTGATGCCAATAACATCCTTAAGTAAAGCTATTACATCCTCAAAGATGAATGTTGTTTATATAGCTCAGTTAAGTGTCTGTGTCGCTGGGAGGGATATAGACAGAAAATAGTTGAAATAAGAGAAATTTAGAGGATTCTCCAGGACAGTAAGAAAATAAGATATTTGAGTGCTAACTCTTAGAAAACTGTTAAATTTTTTTTTTTGAAATTTTACCATATGCTACCATTACCCTAGTCCATGGCATAATACTGTTAGAACAAAATGTATAAAAAATATGGTTTGAAATTGCATGATCAAGTCAGTCAGTGGAGACTCATGTCTTCAATACCAGTATTCTGAAGGCAGAGCAAGGTTGATCTCTATGAGTTTGAGGCCAGTATGGTCTACAGAGTGAGTTCCAGGACAGCCAGGGATGTTATACAGAGAAACCCTATTTCTGGGGCAGGGGAACTGCATGCATGATGAAACATCTGTAATGTTATCTCCTCTATATCCCAGGTAGTCTCTGGGAAAGTCTATTAGGTATATAGTAGTATAAGAAAGTTCTACCATGTGAGTTGGTGAGATAGTGATAGTTTAGTGAGTAAGGTCATGATACAAAAGTAACTAATACACATGGAATATACTCACACAAACATACACACAAATATAGAACTGAGTAAAAGGTAAAATCTAAATCATTCCAAAAATATGATGAAAGGAGGTACATTCTTCATGCTCTTGACTAATTTGCATAAATTTAAGTGATAGAAATACATAGTACTAGTGAATAATCTTTTTATTATTCCAACATAATGCTTTTATTGATTCTTTGGAGATTTCACATCATATACACCAATCATATTGACTTCCTAGTCCTTCACTGTTCATTTCCTTGACCTTGTGATAATCTCCAGCAAAAACAAAGTCAAATTTGTGTTTTCTGTATATTCTAAGTTGCCTGTGTAAAACTTTAAGACAATTCTGAAGCCATTTTTGACAATTCTGAGCCCTCTCAGTCTCAGCAGTAATGCCCCCCCCCATTTCCCCCCTGGGAACCAAGGACCTAACAGCTACACATGCATGTATGTTTTCCAGATATTGGGGCAAGATAACCTTTAAGATGTTGACTCATTTCCTGAACAATTACCCACACATGTATGTTTTGACTCAGTTTCTGGGAAATGGGGTCAAAGTGACCTCTTACCTCATCTGATCTGGCAACTGCTCTCCAGCCAATTATTGGTAGTATCCCTTTTGAATAAGCCAATCATAATAGTCAAAGAACAACCCCCAGACACCCCCTTGCTTCTGTGGCCTTTTCCTTTAAAAGTAGCCTGTACCAGCTATTTGGGGTCTCTCGGCTTCCTGAATGCTGAGGGACCCTGTCATGACAGAATTAATAAAATCTTCATGCTCTTACATCAGTTGTGGTGTGAAAGGTGATCTCTGGGGGCGACTCCTCCTTGGTGTTTGAACTCTAGGGTCCAACAGCCTGCGCCTTAAATAGAACCGAGTCCTTCCCCTCAAGCATGGAAACTATCTATTGTGGAGGGTGACACCTCAGCAGCCTATCAGAGTTTTTTTTTTTTTTTTTTTTTTTTTTTTTTTTTTTTTTTTTTTTTTTTTTTTTTTTGGGAGGAGCCAATACAATGGCTAGTTTATTGGAGGGAAGTTTTCCATCACATTCTGAAAAGTTAACGCAGGGCTCAGTGGGCCAGTTGGTGGGGCACCAGCTTATAATGGGTTCCACAGCTTGGGCACCGCTGAGTCTCGCCTTTGTGCACCCAAAACCAGATGACGATACAGTTGTCCTCTTCACAGATGCAGCCCACTATCCGCTTGTTGGTGATGGACGGGACTAAATTAGGATCTTCCTTGGTGCCCGAAGCTGCCTTCGGAGGTAGCAAATTGTATGGATCCAGTCCCTTCTGTGCGGCTATCATGATCTCCCTCTCCAGTCCTGTAGCCTGCTCCTCATCAGTAGGAACACCACCTCTAGAAGCCATGGAGCGCGTCGCAACCGCGCCATGGGGCCCGCGGGCTCTCAGGGCCTGAGCCGCCAGAGCGCCCACTCCGCGAAGTAACCTTGAAGCCATCTCGCCGGAGACAAGTAGTCCCTATCAGAGTTTTTAAGAGTTCTCTTTAATGGCTTTCTGTTTAGGCTGCTATTACTTTGGGGGACTTGGGGTTGGGATGAAGGTAGGAGTTTACACAGAAGTTTCTTTTTCTCAACAATTCATCTGCAGTCATAGACATCACTACCAAAGTAGCTTATTTGCTGTTTATGGTCTGCAGGAGCATGGCTTCCACATGGTTTCATATGGTTTCTGGTGACAGTGTAGATCTTAAGCGGGGCTCTTGGCTGCATTAGGGCCACAGATGCAGACAAGAACCTCCAATGCCACTGGGGTTATGGACATCAGTATGACTTCAGGCCGCAGTATAGACCACAGACATCTTTCTGGCCTTCAGTGGGAAAAGGAGCCATTGACATCAACACAGACCCAGCCAAATTAAGCACTTGGACCCAGACATGGTTCTAAATGACATTATGGGTCTGGATATCCCTTGGCCTCCACCTGCAGCATAGACCAAGGTTATCAGTGTGGCTTTTGATGATAGTACAGGTCACGGATATCAACACAGACCCTGCTACAGTAAAACCACTCTGGTAAAACCACAGACCCAAACATGACCCTCTGTGGCAGCACAAACCCTGACATCGCCATAACCTTAGGCCACACAGACCACTCAGAACAGTATGGTGCCTAGTAACAGCTCATCTCACAAACATCAACATGATTTCAGAAAGCAGTGCAGGCCAGGAACCTCCACTTGGCCTTCATTGTTAACACAGATGTTGCACGAGTTCCAATATGTTTTAATAATAAAAGTCTAAAGTTGGATATAGGGAAAATGCTGAGAGAACAGAGAGATGAAGGAGCAAGAGCACAACCACTTTACCTCTCAACTCTTCAGCTGAAAAAAGATTGAGTTCCTATCTCTTCCTGCCTTATCATTTTATCTCTCTACCCAGCCATATTACTTCCTGTCTGTCTGTACAGAACTCCAGACTTCTATGATTAGCTAATGACTAGCTCTACCCTCTGATCTTCAGGCAAGCTTTATTTGTACAAACAAGCAATTACCACACACAGGTCATCGCATCAATTCAGAACTTGGCTATAAGAGGATCTTGGACCCAGATAATACCCTTGGTGGCAGCCTGTACATGGACACCACCATGGTTGCAGCCTGGGCCCAGATATCACCATGGTCTCAGGTGATAGCACAGGCCACCCACATCATTATGGTTTCAAGAGGCAACAGAGATCATGAACATCTGAGTATTGTTAGATGATAACACGGTCCTAGGAAATCAATTGGATCCTGGCCACATCGGGGTCACTCACCCATATTTAACCCTCAGTAACATCATGAACCAGAATGGTCCGTAGACGAGGTCAAATCTAGAAAGTAGACTATTCCTTATCTAGGTACTCCATTATTGCCCAGAGTTGTAGTGATGAGGCGAGCGGGCTGTGTCCCGCCACCTGGCTAGCTTTACCTGAAATAATTACACAGAAAGTGTATTCATTTAAACACTGCCTGGCCCATTATATCTAGCCTCTTCTTGATTAACTCTCACATCTTGCTTTAATCCATATCTAGTAATCTGTGTATCACCACAGGGTCATGGCTTACCAGGAAGATTCTAACCTACGTCCATCTCAGGTCGGAGAGCCATGGCATCTGCCTGACTCTGCTTTCTTTCTCCCAGCATTCTGTTCGGTCTACTCCACCTAACTAAGCTGTTTTCCTATCAAAATGCCAAGGCAGTTTCTTTATTTGACCAATGAAAATAACACATAGACAGAAGGCCCTCCTACACCACAGAGTTAGGGTGCTCCTGTGGCTGGGCAGTTCATTCTAGGGCTGGGTCTGCATCTATTTAAGCTCTGGGTTGTTGCACACAATCCCATCCACCCTACTGGACAAGGACATGATCCCCCATTGATTCAGTCCTCTCTCATGTCTGTTACCACTGTCATGTCACAAGTTCCACCTCTCTCCATAGCACACACTGGTTTGCTCCTCCATCACTCCAATCTCTGCATCACCTGTTCCCCCAGAGGCACTTTTGCTTGTCTAGCTTCTGTGAAAATGTATAAAGAGTAAGGGATAGAGGACTAAAAAAACTTCCTACAATGGATCAATTTAGTTAGAAAACAGATTTTAGTTAAAAATTCAAATCCATAGTTTTGATTTAGTTTTACCATAAATGGATTAATCAGCACAATAATTGTAAAGCTCCCAAGGATTACCAGAAATTTTGTGAAAGCAAAACACATTCTAAAATTTCCTAACCTGTTCTGAGGCACTTCAACTATCAATGTAAACCTTCTGAAAATATTTAATCTCACTTGTATTAATTAATCTTTGTGGGTGCTGTCAAGTTAACTTGCCAGTCACGGAATCTGATGCCGTTCAAAAGTATCTGGTATTATGTCTTAGGCATCTCATACTGCATGACAGTGATCCTGGTAATTTTGACTCAGAACTTCAGTAGGACAAGAAAGCTACCACCCAATTGTGAATAAGACAGGCAGCAATTCAGCCTTAGAAAAGAGAAGTAACTACTTTAATTAATCAAGGTACGTTTGAGATGTAGAGAGCATGTTTACTTTTGACAATACAAAGTAGACTCTGGGATTTGTAACAAGATTTGTTTGGATAATAGGTTCTCAAAGCAAAAGAGTTCTATAATATTCTTTAATTCCATCTGTGGTGATTAATCTTGGTTTTCAAATTGATTGGACCTGGAATCAGTCAAAGATATGCTATTGAGAGGGTTTGAAAGGAGCATTTTAATGGAAAGATTAAAGAAGGCCCAGACCCTACCACCAGTGACTAGTGCTTCCCTGCACTAACATGGACATAGGCAGGTCTAAAGGAAACAGAGCCTTCTTTCTCTCTTTCCTGGTACAATCATCTACTCAGTTGCAGCTGCACATTCCTTCACTGACACTAGAACTTTAGCCTTTCAATGAAGACTTAAGGCAAGAAATTTCTTAGGAGTACTTTAGGCCTCAGGTCTAAACTGATATTGCTGTGTCATTCAGCCTTGAGGACTAAGCATATACTCAGTCCTCCACTTCTTAATGGTGAGGCTGCCATTATTGGAGTACTTAGTCCATACTATACAACAGATTAATTGAATAAATATTATTTTTAATATATATTTACTTTTTTGGTTAGTTCTTCTAGAGAACCTTGACAAATACACTACACAAGGTACCATTCTTTTTATTTCATAAAAGACAAGATCATTACTTGTCATAAAAGAAGGAATTTAAATAGAGTCACAATATTATGGGAAAGATAATTGGAATTAATGCCACACAGTAAAGCTTCCAAAACTAAGAATGGATTATATCTTATCACGTTGTAGGCCAAAGGTCCCTTAGACCCCTCACAATTTCATAGGCCACTGACAAATCTATTGGTTACTATCCATAACCTGATGGCAAAACCTTCTTGCTAAAGGCACTTTATATGTCATCAGGTATTGCCAAATCAACCTGGAGTCTGACTAGAAACTTCACCTCTATGCCTAGTGTTTATGATGCTGTAAGGTGTGCTATGTACTATTGAAGGAGAAAATAATCATTAATTTGTCACAGCTACTAAGCCAGTAATCTACAATGATGATCTGCCTGAAAGATTTACTGGTATAATAGTGGCACAAACGTTATGGAAGAAACCCAGTCACTTTTTCATTGGATTTGAGACCTGCTCCATGAGGTGGAATCCATACCTGCTAAACTGACCAAGAACATGAGAATGTATATGACATTGCAAATATATGAGTTATAATAATATTATGCTAAAGGAATATAGCAATAAAATAACTTCTAGTGACAAACTGTTATACTTGTGGATCAACGCCTCACTCAACCCTCATCAGAGAATTTTCTTCTTGAAATAGATGGCAATTAAGCAACACAGAGACTTACAATTGAAAATACAGAGACTTTGGAACATTCAGTTCTAAATGGATGTCTATATCAGTCCTCCAAAATGAATTCATGTTTTTATTTGTTTCTTTTTGGTGTTTTTTGTCTTGTTGGATTTAATTGCTTTTAGTTTTTTTTTGCTGAGATAGAGATAGATAAGTTGGGTATGTAGTAGAAAATGAGAGGAGTTTTAGTAAGAGAAAAGACTATAATCAAAATAAAGTTCATGAAAAAATTTTAAAATAAAAAGACAGTACCTAATATTTTCACCATCTTATGTGAATAAGAAAATATTTTTGCATATTTAATTCTTCCTACTTTAGGCATTTTAATATTGAAACTAGATGGCCTGAAATGTTTTATCAGATGAATCAAGGAATATTGATAAATTAAGATTAATATATATGATGATTACACAAAAGATCAATCAAGACTTTCCCCTTAATTCACTAAATAATGTTTGTACTCCTAAAAGAATGAATTGCAGTATGAATTTCTATCATAGTAGTACCTTGCCTAATACTCGTCTAAGATGTTTAAATATGCAAGTGGCATGAAATACCCATTATAGAACTATCAATTATGGAAAGAAGATCCCATTTTCACCAAGAAACACACCATTGTCTTTTGTTTCAAAACAAAACAACAAAAACAAAGCAAAACTCTTTTCAAGATACTGCAGCATTACTGCTGTCTTACCTTTGCTTCTGAGACAGTTGGGGAAACCTTCTCCAATGATGATTCAAGATGTTTGAAGGAATATAGCCAAGATTATCCCTCTCCTTGTCTTTCAAAATATTCCAATCACATATCCAATCTTTTCCAAATAGATGCTTGACAAATCCATTTTGACCTAGAATCAGATCAATCAGACCAAATTCTAGATTTGTCTACTCTGGCTAAGGTCAAACTACTGGCAAATACATTTTTCAAAATTTCGTTTTGTTGGGAATTGAATCCAATTTTTTCCACCTGAAGAAAAGCCAATAACAAAAGCTGATGATTGTAAAAGTGATGATTGTAAAAGGGCCACAGTCATATTTAGCTTGGAAACAAAATGAAAATACTAAGAAGTTGGGCCATAACAGATTTTT